CTTGTATCGGTGAAGTTTCTCGGAAAGAATTTTTACGGAAATTAACAAACGACCAGAGACGTAACAGTAGCATATAAATATGAGAGACGCCTCCGGGCCTTACATATTGTATTAACATTAAATATCCGTAATTAGGTCTCATTTACTATCGGTGAATATTTTTAACATAACTGTAATAATATTTTTAATTCAATAAACTTTACAATATTAAGTCTACTGCTGTAAGTCAACTTGCCTAAAAATTATATAAAAAAGGGGAGTAATATAAATACCGAAATCAATATTTAGAAATGAAATTCATATACGTTAAGTTAGCTGAAATGGTAAACCTTATACAGAGGGGTAATTGCTCTATAGAGTAGAGAAGGGGCGCTGTGGCATCACTGAAGACTTTTCAGCACCTATATATTTGGTTGATAGCGAATTCTCGGCCATTGGACATTGTAATGTCGCCTCTGCTGGTGTTTTACCTTAAATGTTTTCGATGAAAGCAGAAACACTTGCACAGCGGAACGCTTGAAACAGCGGGAATAATGCTTTAAGTCTTCCGCAAATGTATACGAAACCAAACTCTCCGACCTGCTGTTAAGATGAAACTGATACAATTTAACGAGGTGATAAACAATGACTTAAAGTTCTTGAAAGCTGATTTGCTGAAAGTTCATAAACTTCCGCGCGCATCTCGAGATCAAGTGCTGTCTTCATGATGATGATAGTCTCTTGAAGAAACTGAAATCATAGCAATCTAATTTGACTCTCTCTCTCTCTCTCTATATATATATATATATCAAGTCCATCCCAATATAGTTCCAATCGACTGTGTGCCTTCAGTCTGTATAAGGTCTTGAAAGCCGATGTCTACGTGTATCAGGTGCCCTGATTTCCCTGATGTGTAATCGGATTGGATTCAAAGAATAAATATCTGGAGGTTTGACCAGGAAGTCTATCAAGGAGTAAATGTGAATTCTCTGACATTGACTGAATGGTGGAAATAAAAGAGACTGAACATGATGTAAAACAGGTCGATCAATCCTTATTTATTTTTCAATAACAAAGTGAGTGTATTTACTTAAGAGAGCGCCTCGTACTATAGGAGAACGACCCAAAGCAAAAGGTAATAGTGTGAAAGGAACACAATGTCCTTGACCAAATTTGTATAGTTAAAGATATATGCATACACTTATATGCATGAAAAATGAATATTTTGAAAATGATTTTGAAATCGAGAGTTAAATATAAGGGGGGTAAACATAAAATACCTAGTATGTCTGTATAATACACACGTATTTAAAAGGGCCTATCGATCGAGCACGATCGACAACAGAGAGAACTACAGAGTTCCAAGGACAGCACACGACTTGCGATAATATTCTTTTAAAGTGCGATAGATAATACATTATGATGCTAGATTAATAACGAAGGGGGAAATAATGTAGGTTTTATTTATCGATCATTTAGCAACAGTTGTCATGCAGTGATTTGAACACGAAGCTTGTTTGGGTTGAAACAAAATTTGGGTAATTTCTGTGA